AGAGAGAGAGAGAGAGAGATCGAAAGAAAGAGGTCGAGATCGAGAGAGAGAGAGATCGAAAGAAAGAGGTCGAGAGAGAGAAAGAGATCCGAGAGAGAGAGAGTGAGAGAGACAGAGAGAAAGAGAGAGAGGGGGAGAGACAGAGAGAGACAGAGAGAGACAGAGAGAGACAGAGGCAGAGAGAGAGAATGCCCTACTTAAAATAAATTATAACCCCCGCCTCCGCCCTAACATAAAACAACTCTAATAAATAGACCGAAAATTTTTTTGAAAAGACACATTTGAAAAAAAGAAGAAGAAATGAAATGAATGAACAATCTGTCCTTACTCGGGCAGTCGTGGTCATTGTGACAGGCGATTCTCTCGTACTGTTGACCTGGGCAGGGCTTCCCGCCGTGCGCGGGGCGGGGCTTGGAGCAGCTGCGGGACCGGATCTGGTAGCCCCTCCCACAACGCGGCGCGCGGCAGTAGCCGAAGTTGGTCCATGAGCTCCAGCCCCCGTCAACTGGCAGGAGAAGACGTGACAGTCGTTATGATTGATTGATTGATTAATAAATTGATTGCTTGATTGATTGATTGATTGAAAGTGTGTTTGTGTGTGTGGCATACAGACAGACACAGACAGACAGACTCACACACACACACACACACACACACACACACACACACACACACACACACACTTACACACACTTACACACAAAAATATCTACACTCATCCACAAAAGCAAAGATCAGCAAACAGTTAGTGTAAGAGTGATAATAAATATAAAAGTAAATCTCATGCCTCCTTTCGGAATTTATTTGACCTTGTATGGGGTCTCCACTCCCCGCGAAGCCAAAGTGGGTCACCCTTCGAGAAAGGATCATTTAACTTATTTAAATAATGGTCGAAATGTGCTTTTCCCAGAACGATAAACATGAAGTCTTACCCGGGCACGGCTTTCCGCCATAGCACTGCTGCTTCTGGTTGGCAGGCCCATCACACTTGTCCCCTCCATACTGTGGCCTTGGACTGTCGCACGACCTTGACCTTTCCCTGACCCCTCGTCCGCATGTGGTGGAGCACAGAGTGTAGGAGCTCCACAGGGACCATCCTCCGTGAACTGGACAACATAGGATTGTGCTTATGACCAAGTATGAAATATATATAT